AGCATCCGGCTTCAGCTCAGGTCATGATCTCGCGGTCTGTGGGTTCGAGCCCCGTGTCAGGCTCTGTGCTGACCGCTCAGAGCCTGGAGCCTGTTTCAGATTCTATGTCTCCCTCTTCCTCTGACCCTCCCCTGTTCATGCTCTCTCTCTCTCTCTGTCTCAAAAATAAATAAATATTAAAAAAAATTTTTTTTAAATAATGAGTGGTTAATCCTGAATATCTAACCCTAATGTTACAGGAGTTTTAGTAAGAAGTACAAAGAAAACTTTGGTAAACGTAGTTAAAATAACAGTAATCTGAACCAATGGGAACTAATCTGCACAATGAAATAGTCCAATCATAGATGAGCAGGATAAATATAAAATAAACAATACCTACACATTGGGGATACATATCAGGACACTAAAAATAGAATAGTAAGTCTTACTTGGTTCTAGAGAATGAGAATGTTTTTACTACATAAGTGAAGTTTATGTTTTGCATCAGATTTTTGTAAATACTAAGCATAATAATGTAACATCTTCACAAGTCTAAAGAATTTCATTTTTATCTTTATTTTACCAATTTTCATATAAAGTAAATGATGAGATACCATAATCATAATCATTATCCAGATTCAACAATCTTCAGGGTTTTACTAATTTATCTATCCCTTTTTCTTCCCCTTCTTCTTCTTCTTCTTCTTCTTCTTCTTCTTCTTCTTCTTCTTCTTCTTCTTCTTCTTCTTCTCCTTTTTTAAGTAGGCTCCATACTGGATGTGGGGCTTGAACTCATGATCCTGAGATCAAGAATCTCATGCTTTACCAGCTGAACCAGCCTGGGTCCCCTCTTCTATTTCCTCTTATCTGAAGTATATAAAACAAACCTATATCATGTATTATCACCGTTTATATTTCAGTATGGTTCTCTAATCATATGAACATTATTACATATCCACAAATTTATACCTAAGAAAATTAATATTCATTCTTTTGCAACATTTATTACATAATGCATATTGAAATTTCCCTGATTTTCTCAAAATGGCACATAAAGAGGTTTTAATCTAATCAAGAGCGAAACAGATTTTACGCATATATTTGTTTGCTTTGTGTGTAAATCTCCTCTATTTTGGATCAGTCTCTTTCAGTGTCTCTGTGTCTCTCCTCTTTTCTCTCTCTGCCAGTGAGATAATACAGAAATGAATCAGTTGTTTTGGACAATGTTATACGTTTTTCCAAATCTAATGCTTTCCTTCATTTTAATTTATACTGCTCTTTCATTTCTTGAAAATAGAACATTAACTGTCAATTCTTGATTAAGGTTAGAGTTTTTACAAAAGTACTTCAGAAACAATTCTATGTACTTCACGTATTGAGTATCAGCTCAAAAGTCACATAATCTTTCAATTTTAAATGTTAGTGTTGATCAGTGGGTTCACATACAGAGAGCCTGATCCCTCCATTGCAAATTGCCCCATCAGCTTATCCTTAAATATTAATGTCATCACAGCGAAATCATGATATCCAATTTTATATTTCATCCACATTTACTGGTTTGATTTCCTCTTCACAGAAGTTTTATTCACCAGCTAGGGCTACTTGGTTATCTTAAACAGAATGTGCATTTAATAGGTAGGGATAATGCTTGATTCTAACCCATTAATTGCCGAATTTCACATTAAATAATTTTCTCCCTGGTTGTCCCCACTGGTGATCAATGGGTTGTTTTTCTTTCTGCCTTTAGGAGATCATTGTATGTTTTTATATTCAATGTTTTGGAGTAGGTATTCCTTTTGGTCATCCGTTTGTTCCATCTTTGGCCAGTGGAAACTTGTTGTTGGCTCCTGAGAACTTTTGCCATGGCCTAGTAGTTTGCAGAAATTCTTGCTTCCTTGCCAGCCCTTCATGTATGTTTCTTGCCCCAAACCTGAAATCGGCCTAGTTCTTTTTGATCAGAATGGTTTTGGGAGACCACAACACTTCAATTATTTCATGAAGCAGCAATTCCTTTTTCTCTGTAAATTATAGAAAAAGGAAATTTATATGTCTTCTCACTGACGGATCAGTAATATGTATCCGGCTGGATTGTGAGGGTCTCCCTCAATGACTAGACACCTGCTGTTGATCACATTTTTTTGTACTAACTTTTTAGTACATAAGAGAAGTTTAAAGGATGGATTTTTTTTTTAATTTTAAAAACATCAAAGCATTCATTAGCAGTGGTGGAATTCAAACCTACAAATCCAAGAGACGATAGCCTAAACCCTGCACCTCAGACCACTCTGCCACACTACCTCATACTTAACCTCTTCACTTATTTTCACATTTTGTAATCTAGATGGAAGGTGATTGGGTTGAACATCACCATTTGTTTGAGAAAATAATCCTTTGACTTCTAGGAAGTGAATTCCCTGGGATCACAACCTTACCTCCTCCAGCCAAGGACAATCCTTGGCAAAAAATAGGCACTCACTAATTTGTGGAAGGTGCATACATCTTGATCTACATCACCTCCTACCAGCGTTGGGGAGAAAGAGGTTAAGGAGAAAACAGAAATGTCCATTCTCACATTCCACCCATGCAACCAAATTTCAGGCCTTCGCACCACTTATTAGCGTGATACTAAGAGACCTAGAAAAAGCCGCATGAAGATTTAGAGTGACCGTGAGTATAAAGCGAGCCTTGTATCTGCTCCCATCATTGCTGCCAGAACGTGCTATTTTTATTTGATAATTGGATCTTAATAGCCGCGTAGGCTGATGGGAATGATCCCGCAGAACAGAGAAGAAACAAGTGTTGGAAAGAATGTTTTGGGGTAAGCAAGAGAGGACGGCATCTCCTGCACCAAGGGTAGAGATGGCCTTAGCTAGGATCTCACATAGATCATCCACAGTAACGGGAGTCCTAAAGATACTCAGAAAGCAGCAGGTGGATGAGGACCTTGTAGAAGTTCTCCTGTGACTGCTTCTGTTTTCTCGGTGAAAGAGAAAGCTGAGCATTAGAATGCATGAGGAGGTGATGGCTGTTTTGAGAAGGGATGAAACAGCAGTCTTTAAGAATCCTATATAGTAGAGGACTCTCGAAAACTTGTAAGATTGTCATGCAGACACGCTTGAGATCACCGCCATGAATTTAAATTGAGGCCAGTCTAGCATTACTGTTTCTCTCCATTCTAGATGAGCCAGGTGAGTGCGGGGACAGAAGGCTTTCTTTAAATAAGGATTGTGATTTTGTTAAGTGAGTATGCTTAAGCAAAAGAGGAACAACCATATTCGAACTCCTAGATGGAGAAGCAGCCCAGAAACTTGAAGTTTCTCTTGGTCATTCTTTTAAGGACACGGGCCACCTCCGTTTCTTCACCCCCTCCTCGAAAGGAAGTTTCTCCCCGTTGCCCAAAAGCGCTCTCACCACAACCTCCCCCAAGAGACACAGTGAGAGGGGCAAGTCTTAGACTGCACTTGGGTTCCACCCATCCACTCTTCGGGGGAGCCCCCAAACCACACGCACAGATCCGGAAGTTCTGACAGTTCAAGACGTGAAAATGTCTGATAGGAGTTCGCACTTGGGGTCGAAACTTTCTCGGGCTTTCTGAGAGCAAGCGCTTAGGGGCAGTGAGCTTATTTTCCAAGTTGGTCATCAAGGATCCCTGACTCAGGTCTGCGAAAACCGAAACACCCCCCTCCTCCCGTGGGCATTGCCTCCTTTCCGAGACACATCTTCGGATAGTCTCGCTCAGCCGTGTCCTTCCTTCTCGCTTCCTGGCCGAGAAGATCTGGAGGAACCGGGAGACACTGCGTCGAGAGAGCAGAAACGGGGCTTGGGAGTGGGGAGGCAGAAACGCGAGCCGGAAGGCTCCAGGAAACAGGCCAACGGGGACCTAAGAACCCAGGAACCGGCGCAAAAGTTGCAGGTACGTGCGGGCGACAGTACAGCCCTAGGGTCTGAGCCCTGTGATCTTGCCAAAGGAGTTTCCTCTGGACGTTTTGCTCCGGGACTGGCTGCAAAGCCTCTGTGCGTTTCCGTTTATGAGTGGGAAAAACGTAAAACAAAAAAGCACTGCCTGTCCCTCCCGAGCCCTTCTATCAATCCTTATATCAATCCGCGTGTGACAGCTACTTCTGTGGACACACCTGCCACTGTGAAGTCTTAACATTTGTTTCTTGCCGTCCCTTAACCTCCTGGTGAACTTCGTCTTTGAAGACTTATCAAAACGTTGCGGGTTGGCAAAACTTTCCAGAGCGCTACCCAGGCCAGAAAGCAGGCGCTCTCTGCACTTGACCTGAAAGTTCACCCTCGTGTACTCACCCCAGACCCATTCCGGTGCTACCTGTGTAGACACTGGAGTGATTATTCGTCATCCTCTGACCTCAGTCCCGCTGCTGGTAAAAATTTCACTTGGCAGCGGTGGGATTCGAACCCACGCCCCCGAAGAGACTGGAGCCTTAATCCAGCGCCTTAGACCGCTCGGCCACGCTACCGCTGGCTTGTAGCAGCTCTGCCTGGTTTTTTCTGATGGTAACTACCTTCCTTTACATCTCCGTTCTATTACATAGATTTGTATTCTGAAGTCCTAAATCTCAAGAACATATGGAGGAAGGGATGGAGGAACCGTAGGGCTCATCGCGAAAGTTTACTTTCCTCGTAGACTCTGGATTGTCCATCTCCCACCCACGGCTTAAAGAGGAATATTTTACTGAGTGAATGAAGAATACATGAGTAATAAGTGAATGAAATTTGTAACACAAGAGAAGGCTGTGGGCCTTTTGCAGGTGTCGACTATGTTGGCTTCCTCTCCGTCTTGCTACAAATATCTTAGGGAAGATCAATGAAGTAGTCAAGCTAATTAAAGCCACAAAATCCTTGCTCCGAGGCAGCATGTCTTATCAAACGGAGATCTAGGGCATTTGCAAATGCCTGAACACCTATTTAGAGCTAGAATCTAACCAACAACCTAGATGCCAGTGGAAATCTACAGTCCTTTCTTTTACTAGGTGAGATATCAAAGAGTTGAGGCATGTGTCTCTGCTAAATTATTTCTTCAGAGGAAGCAAAGCCCCTTATATGGTTTTACACTCCATTCCTAAGACACTTGGAGATGTCTTCTTTCTGCTCTCATAGAGCGGGTGCTCATTTCTTTTGAATCTGAGGGCTTTTAGGACCTTAGGGGTTTCCCAGGCCACCACATTGGCATCTAAGCATGGCAAAATCAACCCTCTGAGACTGCTCCTGTCACTCCAGAATTTGTGCAGGGGAATGTCCAGGCGAGTAGAGAGAGCAGTGCTCAAGTTCCCTGCTGACCAACTCTGCCGGTCTCCACACACACTGCAGAGCTATGCCCAAGCCCCAGGAAGGAACGTCATCTCCAGGCTTTCCTCTGAGCTCAGGGACACGATGTGCTCATTTTTCTGAGAAAAACACTTTAGTGAGAAGTGACAGCAGACGGTCCTGCAGCTGCACAGAGGCCAGACTGGGACTGCCAGTCCCTGCAGCTCCCCTCTCCCATCAGGCAGTTTTTGTTATTGCAGGATATTCTGTCCCTGTTTACAAGTTGCCTTCATTTGATAGCTGCCTCCAGTTTTCAAAAGAGCTTTCGGGTTCTGTCGGGTTTTTGCTCCAGCACATCACAGCCAAAATAATCATGACATCCCTAGAGCAGTAGTTCTTAGCTCTGTTCATTAGAATCACGTGTGGAACTTTTAAAAATTCTGACGTGGACCTGGGCTCTAGACCAATTACCTCATAATCTCTATGGGTGGTATCCAGGCATCAGTATTTTATAGTTTCTCACATGCAGCCAACATAGAAAACCAGTGCCTGAGGATATTCCAACAAGCAGTTCTATTTCTTTTAAGGACTTCTCACTTGTCCCGCCTATCATGTCCAAACCTGCTTGACACAGGCTGTTTCTCTGGATACCTGCTGTGATGCAGCCAAGAAGTTGCCAGGTTCAATGCCTGAGTGGCAGTCGCAATGCTGCTTGACTACCACATGCCAGACCATGTGACTTGGTAAGGACCGTGTGCTGGAACAGAGGTGAAGTTGTTCACAGATTATAACGTGGAGCCACGTATCGGAAGGGTTCTTCCCTAATCCCTCCATGTTCTTCTATTTGTCTTTCAGCCTCGTTCTTTTATGTATCTCAGGATGACCCAAGGCTTCTCACCTCCTTATCTCCTCCCACACACCTGGGGTGAGCTCTGGACTGAACTAGCCTTAGTTCTAGGACCAAATACATACCCGAAATGACAGCTGAGAATGGGCCTTCCAGTTCAAGATTGCATGGATCTTAAATCATTCATTTAATCCTCAGAGCTGACTTTATCAATATATTCTAAAGTATTGGCTTTTCCATGACCTTTTACACAGTTTATAGAAGAGATGGGACAGAGAAGCCCCTTCCACTGCCACAGCATTCTTCCCAAAGTTCAGCCCAGGAATCTGGGAGGCTATGGGAGGCGGGGAATCTTGGGGGAGGGTTTGGTGCCACTCCCAGAGTGATCTGCAGGACACTTCAGAGACTTTCCACATTAGGAGAGACTAGGGGTCCTGATGGATATTGTGCAGGATAAATCGTACACCAGGGGGCAGTGTAGCTCAGGCTTCCTCCAGACTCAAATGCACAGGTTGCACTTTAGAAGATTCGGTTCCTGTCTGGTTGTGGGATGAGGGGGAAGTGGGGGGCTTTGTCTTAGAGTGTGATGGCCTGGAGATGTTGAGTTGCAATTACATGAGCCAAGGACAAGTATTTGTTACTTCTTCCTTCTGCCAGTTTTGTTGGTTGTGGATCAACAAAATGAAGATCTCTCTTACAAGAATAGGGTAAGAAGCTGTAACTCAAGAATGAGTGCACCAGTCAGGGGCTAAAATATGAAATCCAGTTCCTCCTAGTTGAACAACTTTAGCTAGTTGAATCCACAATATATAAAATAACAATATATCTGGATCAAGTGGGATATATCCCAGAAAAGCAAAGTTGGTTTGATATTCAAAATCAATGTGATTTATTATTTCAACAAGCTAAAAAGAAAAATCATATGATCTTACCAAAAAATGCAGACAAAGCATTTGACAAAGTCCACATTCATTCCAGACACAGACTCACAGCAAATTAGGAAAAGAAGGAAACTTCCTCAACCTGACAAAGGGAAGCTATGAAAAACTTCTGCTAATATCATGCTCAATGATGAAAGACTGAATGTTTTCCCTGTAAGATTGGGAGTAAACATGGACATCTGCTTTCATCACTTTTTATAAATTTCTTTTTTCAACGTTTACTTATTTTTTTTGGGACAGAGAGAGACAGAGCATGAACGGGGGAGGGGCAGAGAGAGAGGGAGACACAGAATGGGAAACAGGCTCCAGGCTCCGAGCCATCAGCCCGGAGCCCGACACGGGGCTCGAACTCACGGAGCCCGAGATCCTGACCTGGCTGAAGTCAGCCGCTTAACCAACTGCGCCACCCTGGCGCCCCTCATCACTTTTGTTCAACATGGTGCAGGGGATTCTTGCCCAATCAATAATGGGGGAAAAAATGAAATGGAAGGCATCTAGGTGTTTTTTTTTTAATTTATTTTTTAATGTTTATTTATTTTTGACAGAGAGAGATAGCATGAGCGGGGGAGGGGCAGAGAGAGAGGGGGAGACACAGAATCAGAAACAGGCTCCAGGCTCTGAGCTGTCAGCACAGAGCCCGGCATGGGGCTCCTGAACCGAAGTCAGACGCTCAACCGACTGAGCCACCCAGGTGCCCCAGGAGGCATCTAGGTTTAAACAAACAAGTAAAGGTATCTTTTATCCCAAGAAAACATGAAAATCTATGTAAAATTCCTACAGAATCTACAGAAAGCTGTAACTAATAAGTGAATCCAGCAAAGTTGTTGGATAGAAAGCAAATATTACAATTAATTGCATATATTACTGTCTATATACTATATCTATATATATATATAATTGTACCTAGCAATGAACTATCAGAAACTGACAATTTTAAAAACAATCCAATTTACATTAAATGTGAGATACTTAGGGACAAAATATGTCCAAGATTTGTACACCAGAAAAAAAAATGCTGAGATAGATAAAAGAAAACCAAAATACAAGGATCCTTGGATCATTTCATGTTTGTGAATGAGAAGATTCAATATCATTAAGATATCAATTATCCCTAAGTTGATTTATAGATTCAATGCAATCCTAATCAAAATAACAAGGTTTTTAAATGTATTTTTAAGACATGTTTTTTTTAATTTAAAGTTTATTTATTTTTGGTAGTCTCTACACCCAAAACGGGGCTCAAACTCATGACTCATGATATCACGAGTCCCATGTGCTTCCAACTGAGCCAGCCATGTGACTTGGTTTTTCTTTTCTTTTCTTTTTCCTTTGTTTTAGAAATTGACTAGCTAATTCCAAAATTCCTATGGAAATTCAAAGATATAGCATGCCCAAAACAACTTTAAAAAGAAGAACAAAGTTGGAGCAAACTCACTCTGACTGACATCAAGACTCATAAAAGCTGCTCTAATCAAGACCATAGTATTGGTATTAAAATATAAAAAATAGATCTATGAAACAGGAGTACAGAGATAGAACCATACATAAATTATCTATTGATTGTTGACAAAGTTTCAAAGGCAATTCAGTAGAGACAGGTAGTCTTTTTTAATTTACCTTTTATTTTTTATTAAGTTTTTAATTTTAATTCCAGGATAGCTAACACAGTGTTATATTAGTTTCAGGTGTATGAGATAGTGATACAACAATTCTATACACATTACTTAGTGCTCATCACGATAAATGTGTTCTTTAGAAAGGTAGTTTTTTCAATAATGTTAAAAAATAATTTTGATCCCTACTTAACACCACATAAAAAAATAATTCAAAATGGATCATAAACCCAAACTATAAAATATTTAGAATGATATCTTTATCAAGTTGTATCAGGGAAAGATTTTTTTTAGAAGCAACACCAAAAGCATGATCCATAAAAGAAAAATATGATTAACTGTACTTCATCAAAATTAGGAGACTTTGCCCTTCAAAGACACTGTTGAGAGACTGAGAAAACAAGCCACAAAGTGGGACATAATAGTTGTACCCTCAGTCTTTAAGAACGATTTTGTCTCCTAAGGGACATTGACAATGTCTGGAGACACTTTCAGTTGTCATAACTGAAACAGTATTACTGGTATCCAGTGAGTAAAGGCCAGGGATATTGCTAAACATCCTATACTACACATGACCTGTGACCCCCACAGTAAAGAATTATCCGGTCCAAAAATGTCACTATTGTTGATGTTGACTAGAATAACAAGCCACATGGACAAACTTAACTCTTGCCTCCTTTAGGGCACAGGCCAGTCAGGTTCCACCACCATCTACTAAAATGAGCAGAGAACTCCTTCTCAAAGCCTTGAGGAGGGGACAGTGCCTGGATTCAAATCTGAATGCGGTATATATTCATAAACATGTGTATGTATTCAAATCATGCCTAATGCACCCTCTAGGTACCAAAGGCTATACACGTACATGGCGCAGGAAAGGCATTGCCCTCAAAGGCCAGAAAGTGAGAATGTTCCTTAAGGAGCTCAAATTCTTACTTCAAACCCATCCTAGGACTCTTTGGGGGCTAGGTAAGAGTCAGAGTGGTCTTCCTGGCCTGGCTCAAGTCTGGTGGTTGAATCACTTACCTGAGCTGGTGAGAACTTGCCTCCCTTGACCATAAGCTTCCTGCTTAACACATCTCTTTTGCTGTCCTGTGGTGAACTTGGAGGGAGAGAGACAGAGTGTGGGTTGGGAGGGGGTGCCATAGTAGCAGAGAGACCAGAGGCACCTGGAAAGAGAAATAAGACGGAACATCCTATAGGTAACGCATTAGGGGTCCGAGAGGCAGCACCGGGGACCACAGGGACACTTGGGGCGCCCTGTGCAACTGTCTGAATTTTTTTACTTTGGCTCTGAGTGGAACTGCTGAAATTTTCCGAGTTAACCCTTAGAAGCAAAGGCTGACTTCATTCCCTGCTCCCCTCCGTGCCCCACCTTACCTGTTTACTGCACTTTCAAGGTTCTGTCAAGATTCCAAGACTACCTCTCCTCTCCTAAGTGCCCAGGTTAAATGCCATCCTTTGGCCAGCAAGGCCTTATCCTCTCCCTTCCAAACAGCGGGGGGATCGGGGATCCGGAGGAGTGCGTCTTTTAAAGATCTGCTTGTGAGCTCCCTGCCAGTAAAACGGAGTCCTTCATTCACTAGTCCCACCCCATCAGTCAAGAGCCGAGTAGTCAGAAAATCCACACATTGAGTTTTGGTCAAATCCCGCAGGGGTACTATAGTTTTATTTGGAGTGAAGGCAAAGGCCGTGACTACGTATGACTAGAAACAAAACCCTGGCAGCGGTGGGATTCGAACCCACGCCCCCGAAGAGACTGGAGCCTAAATCCAGCGCCTTAGACCGCTCGGCCACGCTACCAAATCCACAAAAGTGGGCTGCCTACACTTCCTACTTATACATTTCTGCTCTTTTTTTCAGCGTTGGTCTTTAAACCTTCAACCTGGGACCAAGATTGTAGGTATCACCAAAGGACCCTAAGGAAGAGATTCTTCCCTCCCTGCTTCGCTCCACTAGGATTCCAATCGGCATCCGCCCACCTCGGAACAGCTCTTCTCACTCCAGTAGCTAAAGGGAAAGATCTTCAAACCAAACCATCCGCTCCGGAAGCGAAGCTCTTGGGATCTAGAACCTAAGAGCATTCCAAAGACAGGGGTCGCGTCAGCTTCCGCCTAGCACCTAGTAAGCGCTCAGAAAGTATTTATTGAACGGATGAATGAACTCTTTTAGACTCCAGATAGCTTCGGGGTGGGGCTGGTGGGGTAAAGAAGACCAAAGCAGCAGTTTTGCTACATTTTGAGTTTGATACTTTTCGGTTCCGAAGCCAGGAGAGAAGTCTTCGAGTCTCCAGGAAGCGTAGGACGTGAATTAAAACCACCGAGAAAAAAAGCATGCCTCCTGGTTCCCTTTTGCTCCTTTGAGACCTAACTGCAAATAGGCGGTGCCAATCTCCGCCAGCTCCCTAGTCTGGACGGAACAGAGTCTACAGAGTCTTCCTCCCCCCCACCCCCGTCTTGCTTGCCCGAAAGGAAGGCTGTGTCAGAATGGATCGGTTCCTGCTGCTGGGAAGCCTTCTGTCCCTTTCTTTAGAACTAACTCTTCGTCTGCCAGACAGGTCCCCTTTCCCCTGATCAGTAGTAGCCACGTGGCGCCTCTTATTACGGGCGACTACGGACGGAGATAGCCAGAGACGCCCTTCCCTGGGGACAGAGCCGTGATTCTGAGCCCGCACGGGTGCTCCTAG